GCGTTGAATTCTCTATAAATCATCACATTTTTATCGCATGATTCGGATATCCTTTACAAACAATTTTTGATTTTAAGTAATTTATATTTAAAATATTTTTAATTTAGATCTGAACACAAAATGCCGCCAAACGTTAGCTCCGAAGAAAAATTGTCTGAATTTAATTCAAACGAAGAAAAATATACGAAAAAAGAGAACTGGAATTGTTTTGATCACATTATTTGGATAAATGTGTTTTATTTCATCGTTCTTCACATTATGGCCATATATGGCGGTTGTCTTGTCTTCACTGACGCTAAAATTTTGACCACNCATTCAAATGATGAAAAATATACGAAAAAAGAGAACTGGAATTGTTTTGATCACATTATTTGGATAAATGTGTTTTATTTCATCGTTCTTCACATTATGGCCATATATGGCGGTTGTCTTGTCTTCACTGACGCTAAAATTTTGACCACTCTTTTCGGTACGTTTCCAATGGTTTTACATTTTAATTATTTGAATCATTTAATTATATTAACCAACAATTATCATAATTCTTGTTATTTTAAATAGAAATATATTACAGAGATTTAGACATTTTAAGAATTTGCAATGAAATTAATTGATATTAATTTTAGTTAATTTAGTTAATTTAAAAAGCTTGCATATAATGTTACATTATTTTAAAAATATTTTTACTCGTATCTAATTACCTACTTGTGTTAAAAATATTAAAAATAATTACCTTTTTAAATATTGACTTTTGTCTATTATTTTTAAGATAGAATTTTTAGCCTCAAGTTTATCAAACGTATGCAATAACAATGCCATAAAAATTAAGCACTTTAAAAATCAATACATGCCTCTCAATATTCTTTAATAATTAAAGGTGACATAAATGTCTTATTAATATCATAATATATTAATTACTATAATTATTTTATAATTTAATACAAAAGTAAATTCTAATAACGTATTGTTTTGCAGCCGTATTCCTGTATCACATTTCACTATTTGGTATAACGGCTGGAGTGCACCGGCTTTGGTCGCATAAGGCTTACAAAGCGAAACTACCCTTTCGTATAATACTCGCCATTTGTAACTCAATCTCATACCAGAACTCAATCTACGAGTGGGGACGCGATCACAGAGTGCACCACAAATACACGGAGACCGACGCCGATCCGGTCAACTCGTTGCGGGGCTTCTTCTTCTCGCACTGCGGTTGGCTTATGTGTCGCAAACACCCGGACGTCAAGGGAATCGGTGGTAAAGTGGATTTGAGCGATATGTTGGCCGATCCGGTGGTCGCCATACAAAAGCAATACTACATGCCTTCAGTGGTTTTGTTGTGTTTCGTTATGCCGACTGTCGTTCCCACGTATTTCTGGTCGGAAAGCCTGTGGAATGCATTCTTCGTGTGCGTTATGTTCCGGTATA